TTTGGTTTCTCGTTGCTAGTGGGTCTGTGGTGCCCTCTTCTTTGCGCGTCTCTGCAGGTGGCTGCAGTGTGCAACTGCCTAGCCTTGGATCCCCACTAGCCCTGTGAATTTAGGCTGCAGCGGCCTCGCATGAGGACTTTGTGAGGTTCTGTGCTTCCTCCCACGTGCACGGCTGTTTCCACGTCTCCGGTTGAGCAGAGGTTTAAACTTTGCCAGGTACAGACCTAGCTGCTTTTGAAAGGTGCTCTGAAAGCACACACACAGTTAGAAGATCTCTGAACTTTGTGCAAGCACCTTTGCCCTCCATTGTTCAAGAGGGAAGGGCAGTTGCAATGTTGGGATTCTTGAAAACCTTCTCAGAGTGGGGCAGGTCGAATGGTTTAAGAGCAACCTTCCCGCATCCTCTCCAAGGACGGAGGGTGGTTGCTGGCTTGACACAGCAGCTTTCACTTGAGCTAGAGCTGGGCACAGCATTGCACCAAGTTAGTGAAATGCGTGCAGATTTGGAACAAAACACATGACTCTTGTTCTCAGCAAAAGGAGTGATTGGTTGCAGAATCTTTCTATGACAAAAAAAAAAAGTAGAAAAAAAAAAGTCCATTGTGCTGTGCGAGCTACTTGTATTAATGACTTCAAAAATGCTGGGAGACTTCTGTATGGGTCTATTGATTTTGATATTTGTGGCGTGACTGAGGTAGGGAGGGACTGCTGACAGCTCTCGAGTTCCATCTGCACTTAAAGATGGGGAAACTTCAAAGTCAGATCAGGACGTTGCATTTCATTGCCCTGAAGGGTATGTAAGGCCTCATCACGTCTTGCTGCATGTCACTAGATCATTCTGTAAATATTCTTTCTAAGAGATTTGCAAAGATACTTGTAATCTGATGACTCATTTCTGGAGGGGAATGTCTCGTAAAAATAATCAGCTTACTTTGCGTTTTGGGATGCAGGTCATGACAAAGCTCTGTGAGATTTTTAGGCTCAATGTGGAATGTCTTCGGAAAGTTGAGAGAGGGAGGGCAGAGAAGGGAAGGGAAAGCAATGGTCAAACCCAACCAAAGAATGAAGATTTCAGGCTGGGGGCATGCTAGTGCCATCCAACTTGTGCGAGTGCCCGCTGACTGTTCCCACTGTTGCCCATGAGTATTCTTAAGAAAAGCATAGAACTATCTCTATGACTTATACTGACCCTCAAAAACACAGATTTTCCAGCACTTTTTTTTTTGACACAGCTGTGATGTCTCCTGTTTATACTGATAAAATAAATGTTTAAGGATAGCTATCCTCTTAATCACATTTTTTTTTGTCTAGTTGTGGGTGGGAGAGAAATGAGACATCTACAAAACTGTGTTATATTTGATCTCCTTGACATGAAGTGGATGCCATCAAATGACATTTACAGAAGAATTAAGACTAAGCTTTAAAAAATACTGGTTAACTGAGTACTGGCAAACCACAAAACAACTCACCACCATCTTGAGGTCTTGTGGTCACCACAGAGGAAAAGTTCTTCCTGTGTTTGTTTGTTGGGTTTTTTTTCAGCTTGTTCTCTGTAAAGAGATATGTTCGTGCACCTCTGGAGCTTTGAAGGAGTGGGGATTTTAGCAGGGTTGAGAGTTTGCCAATCTGGGAGTCCGTGAGAAAATGAGGCCCTTTAGTGAAGGGATGTTATCAGTAAAACTGGTAACTACCAAATAAACACTGGGTTAATCCAGCCAATCCCACCAGTACAGTTCTCTAATTGGAAACTTTTTTCCAACACTGTGATGGCTCCTTAATTGTTTCCAGGATTGTGTATGTTGTTCTTGCATGCTGTGGTGAGGAGGTTACAAGTAGAATGGAGTGAAGCATAGAGGAAATGCTTATTATAAAAGTGTACAAGACGCACAGAAGTTAAAATTTACAGCCACGTTCTCAGCTGCATGGATGTTTTCCATAGTTCCTGTTCATTATACCCCCAGCATAGAGGGTAGCCATGTGTTTAACTAAAAAGGAAAAAAAAAGTGACTAATTAAGATTTAAATTAATATTTAAATGTTCAAAGCAATCCTGCCGTGGATTGGACAGCTGCTTGTTGCTAACGCCCCCACGGGGAGAGCGTGGCACATATTGCCTTGCTCAGAAAGGCCGCAAGCCGCCCCGTGACCGCGTGGCGCTGGC